ATGGTGGTGGTGTCGGCTTCTCTAAATGAGAAGTGAAATTATAAATCGGAGGCATTGGAGCCAAACAACATGCGTTCTTTGCGGTTGACTTTGCTACCGGGACAGTAACTTAACAAACGTGGTCGATACGGCTGATGTGGTAATAGCAAGCGGAATAAGCCAGGCACTACTGAGCAAAAGTTACTTGCACATGCGTCTTTGCGGCGTTGAAAAATACCTCCAAGAAAAAGAAAAGCTCGACTTTACGATGTGATATAACATGACCACCATGGCGCTTACCTAGATGAGAATGAGGCACTCGGATGAACACTGTCGAGCGGGGCTGATCCCAAGTTGAAAATAATGCGAAAGAGAGAATTGGGTAATTTGTGTATAATTCGATATCTGGAAAAGACTACATGAAGAGCTTATTTATAGATTTTATGAGATGGCTATGTAAGGTAATAAGATGAACACAATATCAAATGTAATCAATCGAGGATATGCATTATGAAAGGAGATATATGCATAATCTTGAGAGATATGCAAAATTAGATAAATATCCTAATATCACTAACACATCATAAGGGAAGACCATAACATTCAAGGAAAAGTATAAAAAAAGTCATAAACTTATTGCAGCGGTACCAATTCAGTTTTAAACCTTTCAATTGGATCAATTTAGTCCTAAACCTTTTGAAAATTTGTCAATGTAGCCCATTTAGCCAATTTTGATCGGAAATTGCTAACATAGACACCTTTCGTCCTACATGGCATATGCGGCGGTGACGTGGACAATTTTCTAAAAAAAAATTTCTAATTTTTTTACTTTTCTGTTTTTTTCTTTTTCTTTACTTTTTCTTCTTTTCTTTTGTCCTTTCTTTTCTTCCTATTTTTTCCCAACTGTGGTCCAGCGACTGACCATCGCTAGCCACAAGCAACGACCAGTGACCCTCGCCCTCACCTGGTCATGGCCCTCACTTGGATCTGGGCAAGGGCCCGATGCTCTTGCTTGGATCTTGGCAAGGGGGCAGAGGCCCTCGTTGGCCAACAGGCAAGGGCCAGCGAGGGTTGTAAAAAAACAAAGAAATTTTTTTTAAAACAAATTCAGAAAAAATATTAAAAATTGTTACATTTGTCCACGTTAAAGTCAGTGGTGTCATGTAAGACGGCCGTCATTCATGTCATCGATTTTCGGTCAAAATTGGCAAGATAGACTATGTTGGCAAATCATTAAAATGTTTAGAATTGAATTGGTATAAATGCAGTAGGTTTAAGAAAGTTTTGGTACTTTTCCCTAACATTATTGAAGAATAATCAGATCCTCAGGAAAAGCTCCGACGCCTCATCTTTAACCCGTGGTGAAATGAAGCAAATGTGATTAATGGGCAGATACCCTCAACGCTAGCTGAGCCATCGTGTTGGTACCATGGGTCTTTTCTTCTGCATGCAGGTCATGCACCGCTGCATCAGCTTTGGAGCGGAGTGTAGTGGTGGAGCTACAGCTACAGCGCAAGCAAGTTGAGAGCAACCGATCCTAGTAGGGTTGAATAACTTCAGTTAAGAAGGCTGGCCAAGTAGGTCCTCTCTCATAATCATAATGGTCGGCAGGTGAAAGTGGAAGCAAGCAACTGTGTGCAGAGATTCAGAAAATCCAGCATGGTGTTTGATTCGGAGGACCCACGAATCCTGTAGCTCTTCGGAATCCTGAAATACATATTCTGCGGTCCATTCCCTTTCAAGTCATGAGACACTCGCTTGTCTCCTTGTAATAAGTATAGCTTTGAAACGTTTGTGTATCCATGAACTAGGCCGCGTTTGGATTCACATCATTCTAGTGCACGTATAGATGGAATGAGATCTGAATGAATGCATGTTTTGACAGATTGCGAGACTTACACTGAGTTTCAAAAGAAAAATTAGATGAACAGCCGCTACCATGGTTGGTTCCATTCACAAAGTTAACTGTAAAATGAGCGTAGACAATATAATTTGAATATTATTGAAGAATGGTCCGAATGGCGCTTGTCAAGCAATCAAAAGCCACCAGTTAAACAATATAATGTGAATATTGTGAGGGTATACTTCGAAGGGGCGCTTGTTAAGCAATTATGTAAAGAAATAATGTGATTTTAATGCACTAACTTTTCTCGTGATATACATAATTAATATTTTAAAAAAACCCTATATTTTCGCGTGGTATATATTTGATTTACGCTCGGAAAGCACTCGTTAACATGACATATAAAATTCATCCACTACAGTATTCAAGTATTCTCCATCATCCACTCGAGACAAGCCACCTTGTGGAAGTCAGGCTCTCTCTCTCTCTCTCTCATGAATGCCGATGCACGAGGCAGAGATTTGCTACATGACCAAAGATCACAGCGCGGGAGTCTTCCGCCATAAGAAAATATTTTAAAGCAGGAGTCCAGGAATAGATTCTGATCATATGTAGCTTCAGAGAGAGAGAGAGAGAGAGAGAGAGAGAGAGAGAGGTGGTGCTTGCATGCATGGAATGAACGAGATGATGTGTCGCTCTCCTTGATATTAGCTGCTTTGATTGCGTTTTTTTGGCAAACACCTGCAGGTTTTGTTCCAGATTTGTCTCATGACGCTTAGGGTCTGTTTGTTTGAAAGAAAATTATTTTCGAGAAATTATTTTCCGACTTTCCAGTGTATGGGAAGGTGAAAAACTAATCGATCTATGGCAAAACATTTTCCTTGGACAAAAAATAATACTTATATCTAGAAAAATGACTTCCCATTCTGACAAGAAGGAAATTACTTTCCATGAGTGTGTTTATTTTACTGAAAATTTCATGATAAACAAAAATATTTTCCGTGGAAATCATTTTCAAAGGAAATTGTTAGTTTTCATTTGTTTGGTGGATTAAGAAAAGAAGGAAATCACTCAGTCCATGGAAAACGTTTTCCGTAAATTGATCAGGTTTTCGTCGTCCAAATACCAGAAAGTCGGAAAACAATTTCCCGGAAACAGTTTTTCTTCAAAAACGGGCCCTAAGGTCACATGGCTTTTTTTTTTAAATGCAATGAACTTTTGTTAACGAGTGAAAAGTTGAGAACTACGACACCAGTGTTGCAATGGATGGAATGGCATGCAAATTTGAGGATTAACTTCAAGAAGATGACCGGATAACATACATCTCAAACACAATTCAAGCTAAACAGAATCCAAACGGTGGCTAGATTTGCATTTCCAGAGCCCTAATTAAGCCACATGTCGATCGATCATCTCGTGATACTAGTAAGATTGGCTTTACGTACTTTCTATTAGATTTAGATTAGATTAGGTACATCTTCTTTAGCTACATGTAAATACTGGAAAGATGTTACAAAGTAGAGAGACTGACGAGGATCGTGTCTTAAGGACAGTGAAGACAGGCCTATTCGATGGAGTTTGCTGTTCCGAAGGTTTAATTTTTCCAGCTCTTGTGCCAAAGTAAGTGATCTGAATGTAGAATTCCATCTTAGACGCTGGATAATTAATGTTGATGTTCATATAACAATCCGCCAAACCTCTCTCGATGCACATTTAGCACTCAGACCCCAGAAGCTACAACTGCTGGATGGAGTATATTTTGCGCATTAGGAATACCATATCAATGTTGGGTAACTCTCAAATTTCAAAGGGGAATAGTGTATTCCGATGATTGCACTAGAAAATAGTTGGATCCAAACAATTGATCTCCTTATTAGAAATTTAGGTTAGAGATTATTTACTAACCAAATTGAACTCCATTTCATCACTCCCTCAATCGTGCCTCCAATTTCGATTTTTTAGCTTTTAACTTTCCACTTTCCTTTTTCTTTCGTTAATCAAGGGGCACATGTGCCGAGACCGGGCAACCCGGAGGTTCACGGAACACCCGACAAGCCTTATGACGCCGTCGTCTTGTCTTACCTCGACCGAAGATTTCCCGTGACGTCGTTCCGTCGTCTCGAGGTTGTGGACACCGTGGACAACCTCATGAAGGTCGCCATTGGCTAGAACGCTTCCGGTTCCCAGCCTCAAATAGCATTGCATCCTCCTCGGAGCTAGGGTCTTCCATGGCGTGTCAACCTCAACCCCAGGTCAGAACATTAGGGATTTTATCAAGGGCAAGGCAATTTGATCATTTCATTCTTGTAGGATAGGACTGAAGGTGCAAGTCTTAGCAGTTTCACTAAAATAGGGGGATGCAAAATGGTGAAGCCGGGAAAAGAGATTAGACTTGGGCTAATACTAGCGATGAGTCCATGAACTGAGTCCAACTAAGGGAACCATTACAGGGCCCAACAGAGAAGTGATGGAAGCCCAAGCCCAAAATATGAAAATATGCTGCAACAGAAATACTATTTAAAATTATTTACCCCGCATTATTTTCCCTTAATGATCCGGGACGCTTTTAAACCCGTGGGCAGATTTAGGGTTAGTGTGAAACTGGAGATTTTAATTATTTTAGACGTGAAATTGTTGGTGACAGAATTGGGATCGAACTTAAAGTCCATGGTTTTTTCTTAAAGAGATTTAGGCTGTATGGAGATTGGAAATCGGACCGAGTAACTCGACTGTCCCGAAACCTTAATAAGAGGCCGAAAAACCGGTCCAATCACACGAACCGACCAATTCAATCCCGATCGCCAAAACACTTCCGGCTCGCGACGTGAAAAGAGACAGAGAAACAAGCCCAATTTTGCAAGCGAAAAGTTTTCGAAATTTCGAAAGTAAAGTCGATCCACGGGCCTAACCGCACAACCCGTCACATAAAATACTTTCTCCTTCGCGCTTTCTCGTTTACGCACAGACAACCAACGACACAGGCTCGTGATCGGCAACCCGACGATGGAAAGCCCGCGTGGGAGGTCCGAAAAGCCGCGATCCGAAGTGGTTCCGGGGAGCCCGCGCTTCGTTCGGGTCGGATTCGGATCGTCCGGCGGGCCGGGTCGTCGGATGGGATGGATGGGCGCGTCTTCCCGACCCGGAATTTCAAAAAAAACGAAAGCGGCATTCATCTCTCTCTCTCTCTCTCTCTCTGCTGCAAACTGCGTCATACGGAGATGGAAGAAGATGCGGAGATCGAGACGAGCGCGGACTCCATGGACGCCTCCCTCGTCTTCCACCTCGTCAGCGACATCCTCGGCTTCGCCCTCTACATGCACCGGCAGATCCCCTCGTGAGCCCCCCTCTCTCCGACGATCCTCACCTCGTCCCGTCTCCTTTTCCCTGTCCTTTTTCCCTTCTTCCGACAATCGACGCCGTCGCGGCTCCTGCCTGGATAGCATTGTCCGTTCCGCGTCGGGCCTTCGGCCTCGTTCGCCGGAAATTGTCCCTTACCCGCCGGTGCCGGAATTGTGGCCGCCCCGATTCGGATACTTGTTGGTGTTAGATGCTGCGGTAGCTTAGCTCCGTCCTCGGATGGATTGAGTTCCGCCCGGGGGAAAAAGTCGCGCGATTTGTTTTGATTTTGGGTGATGTGTAAACGAGCGCTGTGTTTCTGCCGGTAACTCACATTGGGTATCTGTAAATTGGCAGGATTTTGCAGGATATGAGTCTTGAATTCGATTCGATGCGTGGCGAATACGAGGAGATGGTACGTGGGATGAACATGGCCCCTTTGCCCCTTTAACCCGCTTTTCGGCTCGATTAGTAATTTTCCTAAGCAAGTTCGATTATAGGAGGCCGAGCTGGCGCGGGGCGAAATGAGGGCGTCTTTGAGGAGGAAGCATAGTGGAAGGATGAGAGAGCTTAAGCGGGGATTTAGGAGTTCGGAGAAGCTGATGAGCACCATCTCCGGTCTCCAAGATGCCTTGCGGCTCGTGGTCAGTGAGAACCCGCGCATCCGGGAAATTCTTCTGATTCTCGGAGGTAGTCCGTTGAGGCCTCGGTATGTCTACCGATTGTGCTTTTCGCATGGGAAGATGGTATCAAGAGATGCAAGTGATTTCGCAAAGAACAGGGCGGCGGAAGTGCTTTCGAGAAAGGTGAGCTTTAGCTTCTTAAGTTCGTCTTGTACTTAGACAGGACTTAATGTCGCATACTTAAATTGAACAGGCTATTCGGGCATTGATCTCTAGAGGTGCAGGGTCTGGTGGCTATCCAGGTAGATAGATGACCATGATCAGTCCATCAAAGTTTGGTTGAGGGGATTATGCTGCATCTGAAGAAGCTTTTCTTTTCCTCAATTTGAATAGGTCCAACCAAGTTGTTTCTCTTGGTCAAAGCTCCAACTTCTTTTAATCAACCTCTATATTTTCTTCCAAAACGTGACTTCAGATACAACAAGAAGGTTAGTGTAACGCGCGCTCATCCGCTTTCTCCCTTTCTGCTGGGACATTTGAGGTCAACTTTGGAGCTTTGACGAGTTTTCTTCTTCTCTGCTCCTTATCCTGTTTTGGCCTTTCCAAGAAATAGGCAACGCCTAGAATGTCAAATTGAATATTGCATCATAGATGGGTCCTGCTCCGGTTGGATTGCAACCAAACAACCTCTTTCTTTATCTGTTATAGCATCTTTATTGAGTTCATCTTTCCATCTAATAAATTAATAATGTCTCATGCCTATATGCCATTGAAGAAAAACATAGCCTAACAATACTCAGCTATTATTGTTGCATTAGCTTTAAAGTGATTTTGTCAGCTCATAATTTTGCCGCTCAAAGCATTGGTGTTGGTCATTGCCGTGCGGTGTTCCATGTCCTTGGCTGCCTATATCATGTCTTCATTCTTTATTAAGGTTTCTTTTTATTGACACAATTATATGGGTGATCCATTTACAAATATTGATTGGTTTTGGTAGATTGTACCATTTTGCCTACGAGTTAAGTGCAAAGGCCAGCATCAGGAGAAAACTGAGATTAATCAAGATCCTCAGACAGGCATGAGTGTTAGCTTGAAAGATTGCGGGTCTGATGATTTGATTTGGTACGTGAAAGTTGAGTATGTTAGTAGTGAGACACATCATTTTTTTTATAATAAAATATTTGACTCTTTTCTTGCAAAAGTTATGGTGATCCAATGTATTTCAAAGTTTGCCCCCCAAAAAATATATATATACTTCAAAGTTTGAAAAGTGGTGATGGAATATGATGGGGAAGAGAAGGCTGAGGCCATGCTCTCATCAATGTGTATCTAGAACTTGGCTTGAAGAATGTCTTTGGGTCTGGCTTTTTTATTAAGCCCAATAATGGGCTTTAATTGTCAAATTACTCAGGTCCTATTTTTGAAGTCCTAAGGCTTTGGTGCTTGTGAATAAAATATGTAGCTGTTTAGCTAAGTCAACCCAAGTTAATGGTTCTCACTGCTTAAATTTCTTTGGGGTACATGAGGAAACAACATGGCCTAATACATTATTCCATGGCTTAACATGGTAGTTACTCCTAGCTTAGTCTAAGCTAATTTGGTAACAATGGGAAGAACAGGGAATTAACAGAAATGGGAAGACGAGATACTTTAGTTTGGATTTTTGAGGTGTAAGTGTGCTGTTCTATTAACAACAGTGTCCACATTCTTATATTTAAAGGAGGCACCTTACCTAGTGATACTTTTATGTGTGCATAGCAGGTTCCAATGCCGGCATGTTATAAAGGGTCTCGCGTCCACAGTACCATCAGCAGAAGAATGATACAACTTCTATTGAGAAATGTTGTCCATACCTGTCAGTTTTTCTTCAGGGCTTCTTTAGTAAGCCTATTTTTCCTTGATGATTGTCATGACCCATATCTGGTATTAATTACTTCTACACCCATCTTTGGTACCTGTAATTGATCTGGCTTGGCATGATATTGAGTTCTTCCTCTTTTTTGGTTTATTGCCTAGTAGATTTTTTGTACAAATCCTCATCTTCGGTGTTAAGTTTCACCCTGAATTTTAGTTCTTTGCTATGCAAGCTCGTCTGATTCTTGATTCCTGCGTTAGACCGCCTTTTCTTCTCTTCCTTTCGATTGTGTTTAAGAATCAAGAGAGCAACCAACCGATCATTAAATGTGCAAGTGCTCGGGCGAGTGAATTATCACTTAGAGCTCGTATCTGTATCTCATGTTAAGACGTAAGTGACTCGGACTGGAATGAGGCTGCTCCAATTCATTTAAGGTGTTCAAGCAGCTGCATGGCCTAACAGGATAAAGTTCCTGTCTTGCTTGCTGGACGCTCGACTTGGTTAGAGTTACCTGAACTAATCAGTTCTCCACTTGATGATGGCTCATGAGTTTTGAGTATCAAGGAAACTTACCAAGATCCTCATCAAATATTGTTGAGGTGTTTCATGAATAGTTTTCTTTTTCTGGTTTTTGTAGATTACAATTATTTCGTGCTGATATGATAACCTTTTGCCTTGCTTCTTGACCATTTTCTTTGGGCATGCATCTTTCTCTTATTTACCTCTTCTTTGTAGCCGAAGAATCAGTTAATAATGGCCGAGTGTAGTAGCGGTTGTATTTCGCAGCTGGTATGTTCCCATTAGCTTCTTCACGGTTTTGTTGTTGCAAACAAGCGCGGATACATACGAGGGAATCGCACGGTCATAAGTAGGAACTGTTGAAGCTGAAAGAAGTAAAGCTCTTGTTATTTTATCCCGCATGTTTTGGTGAAAATTTTATGCGTTCTGCGTCATTACTATGTTAGATTACGGTTCTCGAATACTACTTCATCTGTCAGAACGTACTTATGTTGTACATGCCTACACAGAATCATCCGAAATGGTCAGATCTTGGTGGATTTTTGCCTGACACATGACATCTGATATAATTAGGAGTCTCTGTGGGGAATGAGCTGTTGAATTGCTCTCTTTACCTCAACAATACTCGTCTTCTTCCCATTGACATTTTCCTTCACCTGGAGTTATGGACAGAATAATCAGGAGCCATCCGAGAAGGAAAGAGCCAAGCCAAACTTAGAACTCTGAAAACGTAGCATTACCTTGGCTCTCAATTCGGCTACGAAGAACCCGTTCGTCAATGTGGACTGGACCGCCGTCGTCTCGATCCTCAAATCTCGGAGCATTTGCATTAGGTCGAGCAACAACCCTTCTCTATGTGGGCACTGGAGCTCCAACAATGCGTCGCTCTCGATGATCGACACTTGCACGCTGGTCTCGGACGGCGGGGGCGGGGGAGGAGGCGGTGGTGATTCCACGGCCTTGGGCTTGGCCCCACTGCCACCTTCGACGATCCTCATTTTCCTCTTATCGGACCCAGGCAGGCTTGCTCGGGACCGTTCTACTGATGTGACGACTGCGCTTCTTAGATCCTTCAAACTAGTTGTCCTCTGCAGCTCTCCTTCTTTCGTCCTCTGCTCGGCCTCCATTTGTCGATTCCTCGACTCGAGATCTTGGATCTTTTTCCTAAGTTGCTTCACATATTCTATGGTATCTCCTAATATTGAGGCCTTATCCATCTTGGTCACAAACGGCACGAGCGACCTCAGTATAATAAACCTCTCGTTGAGCTTCTCGCGGCGGCGGCGCTCCGCCAGGACGTGGTTGGCGCTGAGCTCGTCTTGCGGGTTCCCCTTGCGGAACCGCGAGCTGGAGTCACCGTCCCGGGACTTGGGCGAGTTCTCGTCGCGGTACTTGGTGTGCAGGAACGGTATGGTGAACAGGATGTACTTGAGGAGCCACTGGGAGGTGCCCTCGGCGGGGACGTGGAGGAGGTGGTCGGAGCGGCTCGTCCACTTGGAGAACGCCGACTGGGTGGAGTAGGAGACGTAGCTAGCCGAGGACTCGGCCCACCGCGGCTGGTTCTGGAGGATGGTCGAGACAGTCTGGGAGTAGTGGGTGTCCTCTTGCGACAGCTCGTCCAGCGCTGGAGCAACTGCGCATCCATCAAAAACCATAAACAACGACACTTCATATCTAAACAGAATGCTAACGGCGGGTAGATTTTACGGCAATTCCGCAAGCATTTTGGCTTCCCATGAAATCAAGCAAAGGAGATCAGCATGCCAAAATCATGTGCAGTCACCATAAGTAAAAGGCAACACCACGTTAATTTCGATTAAGCAGACAAGTCTTGATTAACCTTTATTATGATTAGTGTTGTCTGAACACGAACTCCTTCCCACGGACCGACGAGCAATGATAATACTAATGATCAGCTTGACAATCCAATGCGAAAAAGTGAGATCTCATGAGGTCAGTGGACCACTCGAAAAGTGAGCTTTGATAGCCAACTTTTCTTCCCAGTGGGATTAGTTGAAGTTTACCGGTAATAAAAGCAGGGAAATCTAGGTAAACTGTCCACGTGTCGCGCGGACCGATGCATCTTGCACAAAAATTTCGAAAAATGATTTGATTTTTCCCCTTTTGTCCAGGAATTTGATTTTAATAATATTGGAGCTAACAAAGTCGCCCTCTAGATGAAAGACACGTGTCTCCACGTGGGGCGCGCTAGTCAGTCCTTTTGCGCATACATTGGCGTAGGATGCGGAGGTACATGAAACGAGGCCATTTAACATGAGATGATGAACCACGTGCACTTGCCATAATGTCTAGGATATGTAAAATATGTAAATGTTAAAAATGCATAAACTATAATAAAATGTAGCCCCTGGGTCTGTTGTAAGTTTTGAAAATTAGTTAGGTGCAATGTCCCATGCTCCATATGGGAACTTGCACTTTATAAAAATTATAAAATTATCTTGTTTTAACTCAATTTGGACCGCGTCGGTGAGATAACAAAAAAGAGCGAAAATGTTTCGAAACTTCGAGGACCGCTATATTTAGGAGTTAAATTGGAATTGCAAGGTGAGTTTTGGACTTGCACGCTAGAATCAAAAGACTTTATGTGCTTACAAAATGGTCTTGTTAACGAATGTCCAAGGTAACTTGCTAATCATACTTGATATGGAAAAGTTTTCATTACCAATGCATTGATCATCCGAGAAAGACGGTGCATTGGAAATGGCAAACTTCCTTTATTGAGGCGTAAATGAAATATTCTACTAAATATACGATTTCTCTTGGTGTCTATTTGTGTGCATGAATAAAGCAGAAATGCATTTGAGAATCCCATGGAGAACCATCAAATTAAAAGATTTACTGTGCCTAAATTTTACTTGTATGTGTCAAAAATTTGGAAGGACTGGAAAATGATTTACAAATTTTACTTGGTAAATGTCCTATGCATATTAAAATCTGAGTGCATGCATGTAACTTTTTTTTTGTTTTTCACCCCTTTTCAGTTAATGGTATTCAGGAGATCAGCTTCACAGATATAGAAGTTGGAGGTCCACCATTGCATGCCTCAGGACATTGACCTACCTATTTCTATCTAAAGCTTCTGTGCACCAAACAGACAATCATTCAATGACCATTGGCCCCGCTGGCTAGTGAGATTTGGTACTTGCCATTCCATACGCGAGCAAGTGCAGATAAATTGTGATAAGGGAGCCATGCAAAAATGCAGACCTCAACTTCAAAGTACACAAGTAGATGATTTACCTGACGGCGGGGTTTGAAGACCACTCCTCATCGGATCTTGCATCATTTGCCACCTTCGGGTCGTCCCGGCCCGGAATGAGTCGACCTGGCGCTGGTGGTCCGCTGCCGTCGAGTTTATGGTCAACATAGGGAAGTCCGAGTCGAGGTTGTTCGACCCGTCGTCTGGCGAGCCGAGCCGGATGTCCTCGGACATCTCGAACTCGCTGGGCTCAGCGTTGTTCGCGGGCCCTGCGCCGTGAGGGTTCTGCGCCGCCGCAGCCGCAGGCCCCGCCCCCTGGCGGCCTGTCTCGGTCTCGGAGTCGGACTCTCCCTCGTCCTCCTCGTCCTCGTCCTCTTCCTCCTCGTCCCCTTGGTTGGCCACGGCGGGCGGATCGGCCGGGGCGTAGATGGTGGGGACGGACGGGGAGTGGAAGCCGTGGTGGCCGGACGAGGTGGCGGGGTTGGAGGTCGAGTGTTCGGAAAGGGCGGGTTTCGGTGGGTGAGGTGGGTGGTGGTCAACGAAGAAGGTTTTGACATGGTTGACGAGTGAAATGTCCTCTTGAACCTGAAATTCAACAAAAGAAAATTGGAATTCTAAGCATTTTTCAAGGCCATACGACTAACAATTAAATACAGAAAGAAAGATCAATTGCTTGCTGACAAGGGTCGTGATAGGTTTAATCAGAGTTTTGTTAATGGAAATAATTTGTGATTACCCTTTCCGTGGTGCCAAATTCCACTACGCCGTCTAGAAGGGGGATGCATACCACGGTCTGCCAAATTGGTCAAAAAAAGGAAGAATATCAAAGTCAACTCGACATGGATTTTTCAGAAAAAGGAAAAGAAATTTGATAAAATAAGATTAATAATACCCGAGATCTATCTTACCTGAATACGAGCACTCTGGTGCAATTGCAATAGAGACCGAAGCGGCAGCACGACATAGGCCAAATGAACACAACGTTAAAATAACGCAAGAGGAGCAAACTACCGCATAAATAGATATTATTGTCTTCTGCAACTACATACTAATGTACATTATTATCTCAGAAATGCACATACGCAACTTCAATGCATACCTTAGCAAGAATAGCTCTCGAAAAAGTCTTGCTATCAACCTCGTTAGCTCCGGTGAGCCACGTGTGCTGCCTCCTCGCATATGCTTTTCCAGGTAAGCTGCATTGCAATAAGTAATTTTTATTCATCATCATCATCAATCGATCGAATAATCATCAATATTGCCTCTTTTTCGACAAGAACATACACATAAAGGCGATTTTTTTCATTAAAACCTATATGGGTTTTCTCGAGGGTTTTGCATTGTTAATTTGCATCCCATTCTTCGAGTCTATGCTCATCGGTTGTGACTTCTAGGAGAGTCAGTGTTTAGAGACCAATCAATGCTTACCACAGTTAAACTCTCAAGACTTATGCAAACTTCGATAATGATAAAATGAGGTGA